AGGGGTGCATGGGCAAACAAGGTTGAGAACCACTGTCCTAGCAGTTTAAACACCTATCACTAGCAGGTCTACGGACTTGGCGCACCCACATTCAAACACAACTTTGACATCTATTGAACTGCCCTCTCGAGAGAGCCACCAGCCAGGTTGCTACACCCCAGCCCTAGACAGATGTACTCCCATCCCTAGCATAAAAGGTCCTTCTGCCGTAAAGATTGTCCCATTTGTAACGAATGGGACTACATTGACTTGCATTATGTGTCAAGACGGCTGTTGACACCAACTGCCCTTGACAACCATTCATTGCCAACTTCCTCTAGGCAGGGCACCACATATGATAGGGATCCCTCCTTCACCCTAATACCGGCCAATATCATTGCCTCCTTCACTGAGGCAGATAATGGGTTTGTTCCCATTACCAGACAAGATACTGTTCATCCTGTGGAGGTGCAGTAACAGCAGTGTTAATGGTGGAGGTGAAGTCAGTGTTAATGGTGGAGGTGAAGTAACAGCGTACCTCAGTGTTAATGGTGGAGGTGCAGTAACAGCGGTACTCAGTGTTAATGGTGGAGGTGCAGTAACAGCGGTACCTCAGCGTTAATGGTGGAGGTGCAGCAGTAACAGCGGCAATTTCAGTGTAAATGGTGGAGGTGCAGTAACAGCGGTACCTCCTAAAAGATGAAGTGCAGTAACAGCGGTAATTCCTCAGTGTTAATATTAAAGTTGAGCAGCCACTGTTTAATGAAAACAGCTGGAGTGTTGGAGGAGAAGTTACAGCAAAGTAGTTGTCGGTGACTCACGTAAAGTGTCAATAACTACACCCATTATTGAGGAGTATTGCCAGAAACCGACTCTGTGTGTGTGGGAGGGGGCGAAGTTAATACTACAGCTGCAAGCGTCAAAGAATTTGGTTAACGCACTGCAACTGTTACAATTGATTATATAACGATTATAACTCATTTTGGGTGACGGACAGACGGATAAACGGACGGGAATAATGAAATACTATACTTGTCTCTCACTGCATCACTACCGGCCCTCACACAAATATTACACGCCGTCAGAATTTTTTTCTTTTATGGGAAAATAAATCTAGAAACAAATTAAAAATAAATGGATGAATTGTTAAATGTTCAAATAATCTGATTTAGTTGCCACCCCAAGAGGAAGGAGAGAGAGGCGAGGCTGGTGCAGTAGTCCTCGGTGCAGTAGTCCTCGCTGCAGTAGTCCCTCGATGCAGTAGTCCCTCGGTGCAGTAGTCCCTGCAGTAGTCCTCGTGCAGTAGTCCTCGGTGCAGTAGTCCCCAGTGCAGTCGGCTGCAGTAGTCGCTCGCTGCAGTAGTCCTCGCTGCAGTAGTCCCCGGTGCAGTAGTCCTTTCAGTGCCCTCGCTGCAGTAGTCCTCGCTGCAGTAGTCCCTCGTAGTCCTCGCTGCAGTCCTCGGTGCATTAGGTCCCCTCCTCGCTGCTGCAGTCCTCCGCTGCAGTAGTCCCCGCTGCAGTATTTCCTGCAGTACCGCCGCAGTAGTCCTCGCTGCAGTAGTCCCGGCAGCAGCGTCCTCGCTGCAGTAGTCCTCGTGCAGTAGTCCTCGCTGCAGTCCTCGCTGCAGTAGTCCTCGCTGCAGTAGTCCTTCGCTGCAGTAGTCCTCGCTGCAGTAGTCCTCTGCTCCAGTATGTAGTCCCTCGGCAGTAGTCCTCGCTGCAGTCCTCGCTGCAGTAGTGCAGTAGTCCTCGCTGCAGTAGTCCTTCGCTGCAGTAGTCCGTCGCTGCAGTAGTTCCCTCGCCGCAGAAGTCCTCGCCGCAGTAGTCCTCGCTGCAGTAGTCCTCGGTGCGGTCCTTCGCTGCAGTAGTCCTCGCTGCAGTAGTCCTTCGCTCACGCTGCAGTAGTCCCGTGCAGTAGTCCTCGCTCAGTCCTCGCTGCAGTAGTCCTCGGTGCAGAGTGGTCCTCGCTGCAGTGGTCCTCTCCTTTGCAGTAGTCCTCGCTGCAGTAGTCCGCTGCATTAGTCCGTCTGCGGTAGTCGCTGCAGTAGTCCTCGGTGCAGTAGCTGCAGTAGTCCTCGCTGCAGTAGTCCTCGCAGTAGCCCTTCGCTGCAGTAGTCCCTCGCTGCAGTAGTCCTCGCTGCAGTAGTCCTTCGCTGCAGTAGTCCTCGCAGTAGTCCCTCCGCAGAAGTCCGCGTAGAAGTCCTCGTGTAGTAGTCCTCGGTGCAGTCCCTCTGCAGTAGTCCTCGCTGCAGTAGTGCAGGCTGGTCCCGCTGCAGTAGCTGCAGTCCTCGGTGCAGTAGTCCTCGGTGCAGTAGTCCTCGGTCCAGTAGTCCTCGGTCCAGCATTCCTAGTGCAGTCAGTCCTCGCTGCAGTAGTCCCTCGCTGCAGTAGTCCCTCGCTGCAGTAGTCCTCGCTGCAGTAGTCCTCGTAGTCCTCGCCGGTGCAGTAGTCCACTCGGTGCAGTAGTCGCTGCAGTAGTCCTCACTGCAGTAGTCCTCGCTGCAATAGTCCTCGCTGTCCTCGCTGCAGTAGCGTCCTCGCTGCAGTAGTCCTCGCTGCAGTAGTCTCGCCGCAGTAGTCCCAGTCCTCGCTGCAAGTCCCTCGGTGCAGTAGTCCTCGCTGCAGTAGTCCTCGCTGCCCTCGCTGCAGTAGTCCCTCGGTGCAGTAGTCCCTCGCTGCAGTAGTCCCTCGGTGCAGTAGTCCCTCGGTGCAGTAGTCCCTCGCTGCAGTAGTCCCTCGCTGCAATAGTCCCTCGCTGCAGTAGTCCCTCGCTTCAATAGTCCCTCGCCGACGCTCTTCTCATAATTAAGTTTCTGTTTTTCTGATGGTACAATTTTCTCTCCAGGACAGTCTGCTAATGGATGTTGGGTCTTTTCCCTCCTAGTTAAGACCCACTATGATGTAACAGTAAAGTGAGAGTCAACGTGGCTGTGGTCTTGCTTTTTCAATTTGTTTGGCTGTTTTTATCGCCTTGTGAGTGTGAAAAGAAACTAGTATAGATGGTTAATGTTTGTGAGGAACTGAAGGTGATAACGTTTCATAGAACTAAAACAAAATATAAGTAGCAAAGCTGATACAAGAACAAGTAGCAAAGATGAGACAAGAACAAGTAGCAAAGATGATACAAGAACAAGTAGCAAAGATGATACAAGAACAAGTAGCAAAGATGAGACAAGAAGAAGTAGCAAAGATGATACAAGAACAAGTAGCAAAGATGATACAAGAATATTGTTCCCTTTCATCATCCTGTACTTGTGGTTATTTTAAATGCTCCTTCACCCCCAAAAAATGTTGCACATAATTTCTCTCCTTCCCCTTGTTATTATTTCTTCCTTTCTCTTGGTTACACTTTTTCTCATTATATCTTTTTGTTGACTTTTAAATACTGATAGTTAGCTGGGGTAAACGGGGCGATGCTCACCCTAACTGTTATAAACAAAGGGTTGGTTAATTTGTTTTTAATTATTCAGTTGTGTTTTTTTTTTTCAAATATATTTTCTGAGGAATTCTGAGTAAAACCTAAAGAGCCTTGAGGAAGTAGAGCTGGTGGAGTGATCAGAGTCCAGATTTTGGATTCCTTGTGAAGTTGTCTGGGTAGGAGCAGGTGGAAGAGACATTCCACCTGGGCTTTATATAGCACAGTCATGACCGCGACGTCACGCCTGTACTGTAGCGTCTGCTGAGAGACTCCGGCCGTGGACCAGCTCCCAGTCCTGCTATGAGTCTTTTATCTCACTCCTCCAACTGATCCAGACGGTGGATCCGGGTGCCAGGAGAGTGACATTTTAGTAACCAGGAACTGAACGTGACTGACTGTAGTCAATTGAGAGAGATATTTCCACATGGCCTGCCTTGTTCACTGATCCGGTAGGCAGTGTTCTCTAGTAACCGTGAAAACAATTGTTCATCAACGAAGAAAATCTGCCATGTTTGACCCCAGGCAGTTATTGCCTAAAGGCGTTGGTTGACTGGGTGTAGCGCGGGGACTCGCTCCCCCCTGACGTAGGTGAAGCTAGTCGTAGGTATATGCCTCAGGACCCCTACACCAGACTTTATGCCCTGTGGTACACCGGCTACTGTAGGGTGATTTCTAGAGTTGTGGTTTGCATAAGTTACCGTCTGATGAGAAGGCACCAGTGCCATACCAGGCCGAAAGGCTTAGGAATGTCCATTCGTTTGTATGTCTGTTTGTGAAGGATTTTGCTCGGGCATCTGAGGACTCTCGTCAGTGGAACCAAACTAAAGCATCTTCCTGACAAACTCCCGCTGAGGGATATACCTCTCCTACAGAGTGAAGATGCGGTTACTAAAGGCTGCGGTTTAACTGTTGCCGTTCCTTCAGGTATAGCCTCCCCACTGGTATTCACCAAATCTGACCGATTGATTGCCAGTCGCCCTTATCCCATAGCTACATAATGAGGATGGTTTGACCTCTCACGGACCACTGGAATGGCCAGCGAGGTGAGGAGCGCTGTGTGGTCATGAGAACCGAAGCGGCCTGACTTAGAGACGTACTGGTTATTAAGAGGTGTGGCAAGTCTGTCACTACCCCAGCAAGATAGCACCCAGAACTCTCTCTCTCTCTCTCTCTCTCTCTCTCTCTCTCTCTCTCTCTTTTTATCTATATACACTAAACCGAATACTTTATTTGCATTAAGCGAATCAGGACAGACTTGATGGAGACATAATAGTCGTGCTGGGGAGGACAGGGAGACAGGACAATGATAAAAGTGTTAAACTATGAATGATATAATCTTACGCTATTGGTGAAGCGAAGACTGGCACTAATAGTCTTATCTACTATTATGTATGTTAAAATAGGTACATTATTATCATCATCATCATCATCATCATCATTATTATTATTATTATTATTATTATTATTATTATTATTATTATTATTATTATTATTATTATTATTATTATTATTATTATTATTATTATTATTATTAGTAGTAGTAGTAGTAGTAGTAGTAGTAGTATTAACACACCGGTATCATCAAGTAACTGTCGTCTCCTCAGGACGGGTTCGTGTTGGTGGGTTCAGTGGCTGGTCAGCGGTACTGGTCGTCAATGCTCAACCTTCAGTCCACTATTACCTCCGGCGTCTTCACCCCCGAGGACCAGCAGGTGAGAGCATGGGTTACTTTGTGTGGTTAACCTCTTGAGGGTTAACTTATTGTCCTCAAAGGGTTATCATGTGCCATTAAGTATTGATGATTTAGAAAAAAAATGTTTAAGGAATGTGTTATTTAGTTAAGGTGAACTTACTGGCTCAGCTCTGTTGTGGATGTGTCATGGACAAGACCTGGCGTCTCTACTGTGGGTGATGCTGAACTGAACGTGTTGGGTTTGTTTGCTGTGGTTTTGTCTCCCCTGCCCCCTCCTCCCCCCCCCCAAAAAAAAAAGATCATAGGAAACAATTGAACATAGAATTAGACTCTTAAAGGTGTCTATTTACACATAAAACTCCTCTGACTGAGTTGAGATTAGAACCGAGAGACTGGTTTAATTACCTGCCATTGGTTACGTGCATGAAGATAACAATGTTGTGTCTCTGTTTGCTGCAACATGTTTGTCCTTCATGTTTTCCTCCAAAAGGTCAGATGCTGAATTTTTTCTCTCAGAGTATTATTTTCTCTTAATTTCCAATAAACATGGATTTTCTTAATAAAGTTCCATAAATTCTATTAAGACTTGTCTATCTAATGTAGACTCGGCCATGAAACTCATTTCCGCCTGAAATTAATCGTCGCACTGAACAAACATTATGACACAGCAGCCTGCACAGTCCAATGTGTACAATTTACACTTCAAGCAGCGCCTTAACTAGCACAGGTCAGGCCCTATGCCTGCAAAAACTGGGCCCTTTACACCAAATTTACACCTAGGAAATCATATCTAGTGTAGTGGTAGTGGATGAACACAGACCCAAGATGTCATAAATTTCACTGTTGGATGCTAATAACATGGCAGGTAGTACTCACTTCCAGATCCAAATTAATACAAGTCTCCCTCAACATTAATCTGGTGGCAGTCACTCAGTATTGTGTCTAACGCATTGTATCTCGTCAGGTGTACTTCGGGACGACGTCGGGCATGGTGATAGTGATGGACGTACACGGGGCCATGGTGTCACAGGTGCCCCTCTTAGACGACACGGCCATCACCGACCTGGCCTGGTCCTGCCCCAAGTTCAAGATGGAGGAGAATGAGGAAAACAATACGAAAAATTGTGAGTAAGAGACAATACAGTCATAACGTTAAAGGTTATTTAGATACACATCGTTTACTTTATTACGTTTTTCAAGAAATACTGTACTGTGTTATTTATAATGTACTAGATGACAGCACAAACATTTTAGGGACCTGGTAATCTGAGTTATTAAGGACAACTGTGACAAGGTAAGGGTCACCGCAGCCTTAGTAGTCTTATTCCTATCAACCTTGATTAGGGGTGGAATGAAATAAAAATTACTAAAATAAAATTAAAAGAGAAATGGAACAAAATAAACCCGTTTTTAATGAAGGGTGAGTCTTCTGGGGAGCCATGTGTACATGAATCCTTGATTAGGGTTGTTTTCTAATTCTACGGGACTGTACTGTACTGTATAGAGGGTTGGGTGGGGGGTGTTTTTGTGTAGTGTTAGGTGAGATAGTTTAAAATTTAGATTATATATTATACAGACCTGTACTCAGGTGTACTGCTTATTCTTTAAACTAAACACAGTGAGCTTGTGCGTTCACTACCTCTACTTGTCTAACGCCGCCCATGGCAACACATGTGTAATGGAGACGACACAAAATACTGTATTGTTAAACTGGAAACTTGATTTAATTAAGTTTACGTAAATTGTGCCAATTAACGTCGCTAAATAATTTATATTTATTTATTGATGCTATTATTATTATTAAACCTAACGCAAGTAACAACCCCAACCATAACGCGAAATTCTCATCGATGTTTCTTTAGTCCAGCCAAGCTTTGTGAGTAAAACAAAACCTGGGTATAGCTTTAAGAATTCTTGTGCTACAGCGGTTAACACTCCTAGTTCCCACACGGAGGTCTTGTTTTCGAATCCTGGCTAGTGAGGGAGTTAGGAATCAAACCCGGAACCTCTGCGTGGGAACCGAGAGTGTTACCACGGCGCCATAAGGACAGCAAAGACCAATTTATTCATCGTTATATTTCACACAAGTCCTGCTCCTTCGTCTTATTCTTAAGCAAGGAAAGTTTTATCTCTTATAATTTGTAATTGTTGATGGAATGGTGTAATTAATAACATTGTTGCGCGCTTAAAGACCTTAGTTTTGGTCGACACAAATGGTCTGGTAGATTCTGTAGATGCTGTTCTCATATTTTGTCTTGTCTTTACTTCTTTATTCTCTATAGTTAAGTAGTCAGAAGTCAAACACTTGATGTATAGAAAATAAGACACTTCTGGGAATAGGTTATGCAGCGTTACAAGTTGGAGGTCTATGGTAATCTCCACACCTCCGTTCAAGTCCTTTCCACGCCGTCAATCCGTCGCTTAAGTAATCAACGATCGGAGGTGATGTGTGCTGAAATACGACCTAGTTAGGGGGCGGGACTAGGTCTGTGATTACGTCTGGCTGTCTTTAGCAGATGGAAGGAAGTCGAATCCTGATATTACAGTAAACTGATACAACATCCGTTTGACCAATATGTAATGTACAGTCAACAGCATAAATTCTCTCCAACCTTCCAAGTATGATATGAGGCAGGTGATCTGGTAACACTGTTTGGGGACGAGTCGGCTGATATGCTTTAAATGGCTAATTATTTAAGATATATGATCGAGGATTGATCAAAAGTACATTTTTTTGTTTATAACACAATTAATATTAATGTGTGAAATGTGGGAAAATAATCAGAAATATATGACATTGCTGCACGATGATTCATGACTGAGGATCCAGACGAAAGATTATTCGTACTGTTGTCGCCACCGAGTATTTTTCATGCTTAGTGACACATTCATCATACAGCGTTTTCAGCAATAAATCTGAAGCTTCATAAAAGCATTGCATAATATGTCACTTATACGCAAAATGAAGAACATGAATTGACACTGTGTGATTCTTGAATATCTTTGTTAACGTCAATTCCTTCCCTCCTGTCTTCATTCACGTTGTGTTTGCCAGAAAGCTGAAAAAAAAATTGTATGGTGGTAGCTAGAGTGAAAAGAAAAAGTGTTAACTGAGAGCCTTTTTAGCTTCTTCACTACGAGAGATCATTCCTAAACTGAATAAAATCATCAACTATCTTATTCTCAAATGTGTCCATATTCAGAACATTATACAGTTACTTATTTCCTCTGATATAAGTGACGACATGAAATGAAACAGCGAACTTTGGATCTAACTTTAATCAACGACCATGATCTTCCACAAAAACAATGCCCCCCCCGCCCCGCCCCGCCCCGCCCCGCCCCGCCCCGCCCCTCTTTTTATCACCCCATGCATTACTTCCATCGATAAGTCTATAAACGAAACTCCTCACTTCTTGATTTTTGGGGGGTAATAAATGTCTTCCTCGTGAAATATTGTCACGCAATCCTCAGTCAGTTTATAAGTATGATGATTATATAAGAACTAGACTGTCGGACTTTCAGAAAACTCATCAGAGGACAAACGAGAACCTCAACAGCGGGTGGAGATTACATGGACCTCCAGCTTGTAACCCGACATAACTTATTTCCAGAAGAGTTTTATTTTTATACACCAAGAATTTGATTTTTCCTGAAGACTTAACATGACAATATAAGAGAACAGACAGTTTACACCTCGAGATTATAGAACCAGTTATATTACTACACCTTCCGTGGCAAATAAGAAATTGTTTACAAGATGAAGGTTAATGAGATACACTGACATACTCGCAAACAACTCAGCACATTCTAAGAAACAGAATTTCAACCCAAAACAAACAAATGAGCGTGAGTGAGCCTAATCAGGTCTAATATTCTGCCTAATTATGACTGGGATAATTTTCTTTAGCTGGGAACAATTGGCCAATATGATAAACTTTTAAGACAATTAAAACTAAATGGTATGTTCATCAGAGGTAATTGGCCAATCAACATGTAATAGAATGACCGGATGAGTCGATTCAACTTATTAAGAAAAATATAATTTTTTTCCTCTTGCGAGAGTAAGTGGCTGCTAGCACACACACACACACACACACACACACACACACACACACACACACACACACACACATACATATTCATATTATAGCAGTGACGAGGATGCGGTGTAACATAACTCGGGTATGTGCGAAAATCGCCTCCCAGTGCACCAGTACTGTCTCTGTTGACATAAGAAAAAGAACAATTTATAGCTGGCGTTACGTAAATGCTGGCAGGGGATACAGGCAGGCAGTGTTTACTATCAGGCCTTAAATAAGAGATGTGTGTGTGTGTGTGTGTGTGTGTGTGTGTGTGTGTGTGTGTGTGTGTGTGTGTGTATCTATGCGTGTGTGTATCCATGCGTGAGTTTAGGTTCTTGGAAGTGTATCATTGAGTTTGACATTATGTTTATGTATTCGTGTTATTGTTTGTGCATTTGTGTGTGTATGTTTTGGCCGGTGTGTGATGTTTGTGTTTTTGTCAGGGTATTTGTATGGCTGAGTTTTACCTATGGTGATGTGTGTTTGTGTTTTTATTTGTTTGGTTGTTGTCTATGTTTACCTGTTTTTGTTATCTGTATGTTATTGTGTAAACTTGTAGAGGTCTTGGAAAAATAGGCATTAATGAAGAAGATATTAAAATTCTAAAGAAATATTTACTGGCAACGGGAGACTGTAGTGTTAGTAAATAATGAACTTACTAATTGGTTCACAGTTAGACAGGGAGTAAGACAAGGCTGTGTTATATCTCCAACATTGTATAATATATATTCAGAATTATTAATGAGAGAAGTTATGTGACGGTGAAGGAGTGAAATTTAATGGTGTGGCGTATCCTATTACCCACTCCTCTTTCATTACTTCTAGGATATTCTTCGTAGGGCAAAGCGGAATTTTATGAAAAGAAAGACCGCTCTCCTGACTAACTCTTGTTCTAGTATATCCTTCTGGTCCTTAAAACCAAAAACATCAGTAAAAACTTCTGCACTCCCTCTTTTCCTCCTCTCTTCCGACCTGATAACTATATAGCCAGCTTTCCCCCTGATAAAGCCAATCTCTTTGTCACCTTATTTTCCTCTAGCTCCACCTCACACGACTCAAACTCTACCTCTCCTACTTCTGCTCCTCCTACTGAACCTATGCACTTTCCTATAATCTCCACTCGTAGGGTTGCTGGTGTGTTATCTAGGTTGGATGTGAGTAAGTCGCATGGACCGGACAGAATACCCCATCGTGTTCTAAGGGAGTGTGCTGAAATTCTAGCCCCTGTGCTTGCCCGCCTCTTTCGACTTTGCCTCAAAATCCAAACTTTTCCTTCGTCTTGGAAGCATGCCTTGGTTCAGCCCATCCCGAAGAAGGGTGACCATTCTAATCCCTCTAACTATCTCCCCATCGCCCTAGCTTCATCCCTCTCAAAGATTTTCGAAACTATTTTGAACTCCCATTTTCTCCGTCACCTTGGACGCCATTCTCTTTTGTCGGATCACCAGTATGGCTTTCGTCAGGCGAGATCTACTGGTGATCTGCTCTCCTATTGCACCCATCTTTGGTCATCCTCTCTTAGGGATTATGGGGAAACTTTCTTTGTGGCCCTCGACATCTCCAAAGCATTTGACAGGGTATGGCACAAGTCTTTGCTTTCCAAACTTCCCTTTTATGGTTTCTCTTCCCCACTTTGTTCTTTAATTTCCAGCTTCTTTGAGAACCGATCCATGGCAGTTGTTGTCGAGGGATCAATCTCTCGCTCTTTCCCTACCAATAGTGGTGTCCCACAGGGATCTGTTTTGTCACCTACTCTCTTCCTTCTTTTTCTCAATGATTTACTTCACACTACAACTAATTCTATCCATTCTTACGCTGATGATTCTATTCTTCACTCTTCACATTTTTCCTTCCCCCCTAATTCTCAAACTAGATCTGCTTCTAGACCTGATATCATTTCATCTATCAATGCGGATCTGTGCAGCATCTCTGAATGGGGAGGTAGAAATTTGGTTAAATTCAATCGTAATAAAACAGTATTCACCAATATTATAACACTTTTCAAAACAGAAGAACTCCCACCAATCACATTTCAGGAC